CAGAGAAATGTAGTACTGAATGTCAACTTGTCTATTTATAATCATTAACCTATGATCAATTCTTCTCTTCCCATTAATGTGAGGATTTTCTTCATACTTAGATACTGCTCAATGAGGATCCAACATTAATTATAGAAAATCATTGCCTTAATCTAAAGGTAATAAAGTTTAATGATGATGATGAGCATCATCATGGCACCTTTCCAATAATCAAGTAAAAGGTGACTTTTAACAGTCTTAGAGAGTCTTAAATCATAATTAAACTTTCACTTCTTAAATGCCACCTAAACACACATGCATTTTGCAAGACCCACTCACTGATGAGACACAGTTGCCTGCTCTTTTCCTTCATCCAATTTGCTGCATTGGTGTGTCTGGCCTGCTGAGAGTGAAGCAGCTCTCTGTGGTCCTCTGATTGTCTGCCTCTCAGTGGGAGCCAAAGGCTCTGCAAGAGACTTTTTAAAGTCATCTTCCATGACATTTCTGCTGCACAGTTGTGGGTAGAATGAGAAAGAATAGAAAGGCAGGATGTTTAAAAGGTCATAGTTGGAACTGAAACCAGTACTGGTGATAAAAGTGCCAAAATTGTCTTGTTCTGGAATAACACCCTGTACATTTGTGTCCTGTACTTTCAAGCTGCAGTTTGGCACCGCTAACGCTGTGCTGTGAATCTATCAGTCAGCGTCATAGCACAGAATTAAAATGAAGCCAGTGATAACATTGCAAAGATTATTTTGGATTTCAGTACAGGATATGAGGTAGGAGAGTTGATTAAGGTCAGAGAAGATTCTAACCGCCGTCATTTGTCTGCATTTGGTTGTCCACTAGACCTACAGTACATGTTCACAGAAATGGGATACATGATGCATCATTGTCAAGGTGTTAGTGCTTTGTGTGTCAAGGTTCAATAGCTGGTCTTTCACACCTGTTCACACACAGAGCTTGAGGTTACTGTACACCCATAGAATGTAAAATAAATTTGCTTATGTCACATGACTATATTATCCCTTTGTAGTTTGTTCTCTTAGCTACATTTATCATACAGTATGCTCTCTGATTCTCCGGTTTCCAGTCATTTAGCAGATAGAATACAGTATAGACAATAATTCATGCTACAACTAAAAAAACAACCACTTTCTTTTTAACCTATAAAGAATTACCACCATGGCAATATTTGCCTTAAATAAAGTTTTTCAGTCTCCAGGTCTCAAAAGGTTTCATCCACATGGCTTTTTGTATCTTTTTGGTACTCAATGGCCTTGAGTGTGTCAAGTTCTTTCTCCTTTTTCCTCTTCATAAACCCCTCTGTGGTTCTCTCCCCTTTTTCCCTTAGTTTCCTGCTCCCTCCTCTGTGTGCTTGGTGAGACTTATACTGTACAAATGCTTCTTCATTCTGTGTCACATTGTCATATTTAATGCAATAGTTTCTCTCTTCCTCTCTCCTCTTCTTGCCCCTGCTATCAGGACTGCCAGTTTAACTTTAATCTTCAGGTAGTCCTCTCCTCTCCCCTTTTCTTGTGGTGACACATTACTTTACCTCTTCTCATGTCTGATCATTTGTATGTGGTTCCAAGCTTCTGCATAGATCCAATTGACTTACAATTTGCTTTGGATGACTTTTGTAAGAAGAAATCCAATTGAAGAAGAATAAAAAAAAGCAAGCCATGTTGCTCCAATAAGTCTGTAGTGTCTGTACAGGCCTAATGGATATTTTGTCACTCCTCCTTTTTGTAGTTGGAAGAACTGTGAAAATGTCAACATTTCTTCAATTTACTTACTTTATCTTGATGCAAAACATTAAGCCATTGGGGAAAGGATGAATTGTGTGTCAAGTTAGAGTATAGTAGCTCTGCTCTGTCTTCCCTGCTTCCTGTTCCTCAGAGTATGTCAGAGGATTGTTTGTAAATCTTGACACTGTACTGCTCGCAGTTTGTGGCCATACATTTGTCCGCATGTGTGTCTTTGTATTCTGTATGTGTCTTATCTGTGGATAATGCTGCCTGTCTACTTCTTTTGTGTCGCCGTCACCGCAGGTATAACCTGGAATATATGGTCATTAATTTCTTTTATCTTAGAACTTGCTTAATTTTTACCTTTACCTTTTTCAGCTTCTACCTGTAAACATTTCATTGTAGTGTTACTGGACTACAATACTGGACTATAAGAAAATATTTGGTTTGATGAGCAGAAACAAAACCAAATGTAACCACTAGATGTCAGGATTAAACTGAAATACATAACCAGACCTATTGCCAGAACAATGACCAACTGTTTTCCTAGTGTGTGTGAGAGAGAGAGACAGAGCTGTATTTACTGTTACTCACTAGGCCTTCATCAGTGTGCTTTCAAGCTTTTTAGTTGATTTCCACATCATCTTTAAATTGTGCTGCTTCTCACTCGGATTTGTAGTTTTTCTTTTTCTTTTTCAACTCTTCTTGACATTTTCTCAGTGGAGTACAGGTGGGGTTTTTGATCAAGCAAATGATAGATAGATACAGAGATAAACAGAAGACATTAAAGAGTACACAAAACTACAATATTAATAATACACACTGTGAGGCATCAATCAGTTTGTGGTTTTGTACTGCAGTACAAACTGTTACACTGCAGTAACCCTGCTTATTTTGGACTAGTGTTTGAAATTCCAACTGATACAGGCACAAAGGAGTTATTGAACTGATAAAATGATTGAATGAAAGTAACTGATATTGATGAATCTAATGAATCTAAAGTTGAGTCTGCTGTTACCTGATCCACCCATACCAAGTTCCTCAGTTTAAATACACCTTCATTGACCCTGGTGAAATATCAGTCTACAATGTCTGTGTCTCAGCATACTGGTTGAAGCACAATATTTAGTGATATAGTATGATGACGCCATCTTCATTCATATTCTCTGTAGACACCGTGGATCACTCCTCAACCATCTGCATAAATGATTCTTGGTTGAGTCCGCCATTGTGGCTCATACCTATACTGAAGTGTACTAAGTAGGTCAGCCCTTTTGGCTCACTTCTCCCTGTGGTTTCAGGACCAAGCAGTTGTGGAAGACTCTGATCAGGTGCGTCTGAGAGGAAGCAAGTAAGGCTGTTGCTCGCTCGTGTCAGCCAGCCTCTTTTTACTGGCTAAAGCTTACAGGTGTGCTGTGATCTGGTTCGGTTTGCTCTGCTTTGCGTTTCTCTGCTGCTCTCCCAGATGAAGAGCGGACAATAGTAGATGCCATTAACCAAACTAAAGCTGCTCAGCATTGGTTTGTCTCAAAAGTTAAAAGTTTAAATTTATTCATAGTGTGAAATAGTCAGATATTGAAAGGGTGTAAAACCTTTTTATCCACCCAGCGCAAGTTGGTGTTCATCAGAGATCTCTTTTATACAATATTTTGGATGAAAGTCACAGCTTTTTAGACAGGATGACAGTGCTCCAAAGGGGTACAATTTCCCCGTTATTAGCACAGATTTAGATTAGGATCCTCTATAGCCAGGAAGCAGTAAGGAAATTAGACAGTTTAATACAAATGTGTTATAATCCTTGCTAAAGCTAAACAATGACCTGCTGCGTGTAGCATGTGGGCATACATGACACAGATGATGTCGAGGTTCGGCATGAGTTTGGAACTGTGCTTGGTCTTCGCTGAGTGTGAAAACTGGAAATGGCAATCTTGATTGTGTTCTTGTGCAGAGAGACAAAAGTATGGAAAAATAAATTGTTTATGATTGTTTAGCATTTAGACCGCCATGAACTTTTTGAAGTGATGTATTTTTCAGCATAATGCACTATAGTTTTATAGAAAGTGTCTTGGAGCATCTTGCCATGAGCATGACTGTGGCATGAAGGACGTGGATAGAAGTCTTCATGCATTTATGCAAATACAGGTGAACATGAGAGACATTTGTTTGGACCACACATGCATGCGCATAGTGAAACCACAGTATGGTATTCTCCTCTTCATTACCCTGGCAGCCATGCAACTTTGTCCTGCTGAAAAAATCAGCCGTGCAGTTGAGGTTTTAATGTCAAGAATTGAAATTGCCTTTTTTTTTGCCTTTGCCTTTAGCACAAGTAGAGGTAAGGGGTGATTTCAACGATATAATGCGTAAAATATTGTTGAGCCAGTTATGCAGATGCATCTTGTGTAAATGTGTTAAGTAGTATGCAATAGTCACAAGATAATAGTGTCCACTAAAACTACATATATTATCTAGTTTACTTCGTCATGTGATATACAATACACTAATCTTTGCGTAGTGGTTTTATTACAACATATTTCAAGCATGTCTCGCAGATTCTTGTGGTTCTCATCAAAGAAACACATTTCTTTTTATTTTCCTTCTTTATTTTTATTTTATTTTCCCCTCCAAGTCATCTACATAAATAGCAGAAATCATTTGGTGCTTTTCCTTACTTTTTGTCTTCATTCTCAAAGTTCACATGACCAACCAATACTGAGGTTTTAATTCTTTTGAATGAGAACTTGTTAATATATTTTGAGATGTTACAATGTGGAAAAAATGTAAATGTGTCCACTTGTTTGCCACAATTCAGTACACTTTATTAAATTGCATCCATTTGTATGGAGTTAATTTTATTTGCCTCTGCTCCACAGTAGCAATGCAGTCTCATTTCATTCCATTAATTTTGAATTGTGCTCAATCAGTGTATTCGGGCTGTGAATGAGCAGCATGAGTGTGTGAGCACATGAAGAGGAGAATTGTTTTTAGGAATCAAGTTCAAAAGTATGAAATATGTATGTGTATGTAGAGGTAAACATAAAAAAAACAACCACAGGGAAATTGGACATGTGGTTTCTTACATGTCACTACGAGAGGACTCCACTACAAAGAAGATTCACCTAAGTTTAAGTTTCATGCGTATAATAACTTTTTCCATATCTGAATTCTGAATTCAGAATTCAAACGAGTTATTTTGTCTGAAATACACAGTACATATGTCGTGTGTATGTCAGTCAAAATGCAATTTTAAAATGCATATCTCTTACATAC